TTCCCCTTCTCCCTCCTTTTTTTGAATTGAAACTAGGGATGAGCTGTGAGTCCTCTCCCTTCAAAACTGCTTTCCCCACTCCTACCAATCTCTTCCTAAACTGGAAGGTCAGACCACTGACCGTGCCTGGGAAAAGACCAGGAGCTTCAACAGGGAGGGTGAGTGTCCAGCCCAGGGATTGGCCAGAGGAGGAAGAAGGGGCCACTTGGTGGCAGCAAGTTCAGAGAAAACATCCTAAGATGTCTCACCTCCTAGGCACTCTGCTCTGCCCATGCAGAAGGAACTCCCTGAGGAGTGATCTCTTGTGAAAAATCTTTGGAAAATTCCTGAACTGGGGCTGCTCTTCCCTTGGTGCAACATGGAGCTCAACTGCTGACTGGCTGCAGGCAAGCAGAGCTGCTTCTCTCTGAGCAAGTCTTCTCATCCCAACTTATTGTAATATACTACACTGGTTTCTCTCTGGAGCATGACCTGCTCTAGTCCCTGAACTCTAATGCTAATTTTCTTCATATGTTCTTAGCTAAACTCTAGATGAATTTACTCAAAACAGTTTCCAGAGTCTAGACAGACCTTACGTTAATGTTTCAGATGGCACTTCCATGCCTGGAGGCCACAAATATAGCAGACCTGATTTCTCAGATCAGAGTAGTGCTAAGAAAAACCTTTCGGCGTTCTCCAGATGTTACATAGTTGAAAGCTCAGCTACATTTTATGTCAGATGACTGCAAAAACATGCACTATTTCTCACCATAACTATAAAGCAGCTATACTTCATTTTTCTGAAGAGAAATCTGGATGATGCTTGTCTTTTCCCCTGCAACAAAGATAACCTCAATTTTATCTGGGTAATTTGGGACATCAGATCTCCTAGATAGTTACCTAAACTGTCAGACAAAGACAAAAATGGCTTCTCAAGAGCACTTTTCAATATTTATAGCTTTAGGAGATCTCTTTCTTTTCTCTTTGAAGGGGATGCTGGTTAGGGCCTTGGTGTTTGTAAATAAATTAAGGTTCCCAAACCTCACATAAATTTCTCCACATAGCTGGTGATATTTCTCCTCCTGTTCTGTATTGATATCATTCACCAAATACTTAGTCTATCCTTGTGTTAAAGAATCAGCCACCTTATCCCATCCTTATTCCACTGCACAAAGTTTGTCACAAAATAAGGTACATCTTAACATTTCTAACATGGAACTGAAAAAGAACAAGTGTGGTGGTAAGACTCCATAATTCTGCTGTGGGCTTTGTATAATCTTGATTTGTTTAGTTTATTATGCGTCTCAGGTCACTTCTCTTAGGGCGTTTATTGAATTAGCTGATGCTTTTACAAAGATCAGCTGCAAAGTATTATCACTGTTAATATTTATTGTATGTCTACATTGCAGGTTGTGTGCTGTAGAGATTTCCATGCCAGCCAGACTGCTTCTGGTATTCTTTTCTCTGATGGGGCTGCTTCTAAAATCTGAATGCAGCATTGCAGCTCACAGTATAGCTATACCTGAACAATTTATATTGTCAGGGATCCCTGTAGAACATAAGGTTTGAAGTGTGTTCTCTTTTAAAAGAAAGATGAAATTCTGGAGTGAAGTGTGATGATCAGAGATAAAATCGTTGCAAGTTCTGTCTGCAGAACATGGAACATTTGGTACCAATAGCTTGGACCTGGGAGCTGGTCATCCTGAAAGTGAGGTATTGGGGCCCTGAAGATGAAACATCGCTGCAGACACTTTCAAAGCATGTGGAAGCCTGGCGCTGCCCAAGTGCATGCCTTTTCAGCTGTGTTTAAGGTCCTGTCTCCTTCAGGCCAGTCAGCTCTAGTGCCATGAGCAGCACGCCTTAACTCTCTTCAGTTCAAATAGGTCCCAAAGCTTAGGCAATGTAAATAATGGATCCTTGGAAATCTGGTTTGTCTGTGCTGAACTGGATACCTGTGGGCATGGTGAGCTGCTTTGCCACTAGCTCTGAGGGTGAGTAACTCAGTGCTTTTGCTGTGCCCTTTGCTGCTGTTGTGTGCTAGAGTGGAGCTTCCTTACCCTGCTTGTTTCTGGCAATTCCCTACAGGCCATCCCTTGAGAGGGATGTGGGGTCTTCAAATTAAATGGTTAAATTATCTGGTTTTTTTTTTTTATAAGTAATGAAGGAAAGCAGTGATTCTTCACAGGAAAGTTCCAGTCACTCACGTAAGTTGTCAGCACACCACATTACCCAGGTAGAACAAGTAGACTCAGTGGTTCTGTTTTTTTGTGCTGTTTTTTGAACTGCTGGCAATGCTGTGGGAATAACAGGATGTGATGGGGGCAGAATAGCAAAGAGGGCTCGGCAGCATGTCTTGCATGAGTCAGAAAGCACTACGGAGAGCTTGGAATTCTCCTCTCCAAGAGCTCATCGATGACAGAGAGCAGCCACCAGCACACAGTCAGCTTTCAAGACTTGTGCGTAAGATGCTTCCAGTGACAAGGGTGAGCTGGGTGCTGGCAGCTGCCCACTGAACTGTGCTGTGGACAGTGCCTCCCTACCCTGTATGTACAGAAGTTAAGTGCCAACACAGCCTGAAATCTCTGCTGACACATTCCTCTGGGCCATGACTGCAGCTCTGAAACACAGCAAGACCATATTGCACTGTTCCCTTGATCACCTGGCAGTGCTTTGCACCTGCTTAGCATAGAGATGGATGGCTGTTGCTGGCAGGGGGGACCAGCCCAATGGGTGTGAACCGGTACAGTGTGGACAAGGTGCTGGGATTCATTAGCAGATGGCAAATGTTAGATTGCAATTGCAAAACTGAAGTTTCACAGGTAGATGCTGTGAAAATATAAGGTTCCTCTGACCCATGTCCTGCATAGGGAATAAAGTGCAAGGCATCGTTCCTCAGAAGATGGTGTCTGCTCTGGAAAGGGAAGCATGCTCAAAATGATGTCTATGTGGAATCTGAAGAGTCTGGTAGCTGTTTTTTTCTGAGTAGAAAAAAAGGAGATGCTGGGCTGACCCTGCAGGGGACTTGTCAACTGTTAGAGGCTTGGCTGAGGCCGAGATGCGGGGATCTCCATTAGGATAGTTGAAAGTCGTGTAATGTGGTGTGAGGAGGCAATGGTTACTGCATGGCAGCTTATAGGGTCTGCTAGCAGAATGGTGGGGGGGTAATGCAGGAATAATGGCTGCAGTGGAAGGGGGAAGCAGTGTGCTTGGAAAGGCAGAAGACAGTCTGCTTAATTTAAGTGTTGGGGCAGAGGATTTTCTCCTGTTTCACACTTATTTCTCCACTGCTGTTGGTGATTTGCTTTTTTGTAGTGAATTTCACCAAATGGTGAGAAAAGACTAAGAAGAAATCAAGCAAAGTCTAGTATGATCTACACAGTGGTGAAAGAGGAGACAGCCTGTAGGGGTGGCTCTGCTGTCATGTGGACATGAACACATCTTACTTTCCATCTTTCCCTTTTCTGAATCCTTGGTACAGCTCCTCTGCCTCTCTCCATGTACCTCTGCAACCCAGGCAGTTGCTGGATCCAAATGTATGTAGGAGAGCAGATGCACTTTTTTTGGTAGGACTGGGAAAGAGATAATATGAAAATAGTGGGAGTCCAGCTTCCACAGGTTAGATAGATTCCACTGGGATAGATTTGGACTGGGTAGCTTGGACTAATTATGTTTTTGTTGATCCCTTGGAGAACTTTGTTTTTGCTTTAAAGTCTCAAACTTTCCCTAGCCACTGACTATAATCAGCTGGCCTGGGAACTATGGTGGTTGACAGGTCATTGGGAAAGGTACCTAGGAGGATGTGAGATGCTTTCTAACATCTTTCTGTATCAGGAATGCAGTGTGCTTTGCAGGGAGGTTGGTGTAGAGCAGTCCTGGAAGTGGTGGTTCTAGAAATAGCATTCTTCCCTGAGTGCTAGCACAGTACAAGTCTGATGGATGAATTTTATACTGTGCTGTACTTCAGGAAACAAGCAGTGTGCAGGTAAACCTGAAAGGGCAATTTAGTAGAGCAAATTGTAAATACATTTAGAGGAATTTGGTCAGGAGGAAGGTAGGGCAAAAAGTTATTTAGAAGCCTTGCTGACATTTTCTCTACTATAATGCAAATCCCCTAATCCCCTCATCAGGTGCCTTGGAAGCACCCACATTTTCTAAGCATTTCTCTTCACTGGTAAGTTTTATTGCTACCTCCTCCTGCTCTTACAAACCTTTAAGCTGTAGATGCACAGCAGCTGCACTGTGCCTAAATGTCGCTTGTTTTCTCAAGCTGGATGGTCTGTTGGTTAAGCTGCCCTCGGGGCTGGATTCAGCGAGCTTTTTACTGCTGTAGCTTTGGCAGTGCCCTGTAATGGGGAATTGTATCATCGTTGACACTCCACTGCCATGCCTGCCCTCTTGCAGGGCTTGAAAGGCCTCAAGGCTGTGGTGCTGACCCAGGCGCCCAGCTCGTGTGCCAGTGTGTGTGACCGCGGCACGGCTGTGTAGCAGCGATGGGAGTGGGTGCTTGGGCAGCTCCATCGTCAGCCCAAGATGCTTGCTCCTGTGAACCACCCCAGCTTCAGTGTGAGATGTGCTCATCTCCATGGAGTGGGTGCCTAGATCCCGTGTGCCGTGGGGTGCCACAGTGTATTGGCTGGCCACTTGTCCTACGGACACGACTACCGCGTGGTGGTGGGGCCAGCGAGGACAGGGACCCGGGCTGGCGGTGCAGCAGGGCACACTGCTGTGCTACCCCCGTCCCAGCAGCTGTCCCCTGGGGCTGAGCCCGTGTCACCTGCGCCCCGCCATGTGGGCCCTACCGCCCCCTCCCCGCTTGGGCTGCAGCGCTGAGCGCACCCTCAGCTACATCCCGCCGGCAGCCTGCCCCGGCTCCCCCAGCCGGCCAGGCCGGGAGGAGGAGGAGCAGGAGGAGGCGCGGAGCCCTCCGCCCCCTGCGGCGGAGCGGGCGAGGCGTTAGGACCCGGCGGCGGCGGCTGGGCGGTACGGGGCCGGGGCCGGAGCGGTGCGGGGCGGGGGGGAACCGCGCCACCGCCTCCTTCTTCTCTCCTTCTTCCCACAGCCGCCCCTGCCCGTCGAGGCAGCGCTCCCAGGCTTCCCCGGGGCGCTCGGCATGAGGAGGATCAGGGCCAATGCTATCGCCATCCTGACCGTCGCCTGGATCCTGGGCACTTTCTACTACTTATGGCAGGACAACAAACCCCGCTCGGCGGCTGCCGGCAGGTCCGCCGGCGGCGGTAGCGGCGGCGCCCGGAGCGGGCAGAGGGCGGCCGGCAGACTGGAGCTCCGCCGGGAGGAGAGGACCATCCCCCTCATCGTGAGTGAGCGGCGGCCGCCGGCATCCCGTCCTGCCGCGGCGGGGAGGGATGCTCGGGGAGGGAGCCGCCGCGGCGGGCGCGGGATGAGCTGGCGGAGGGCTGAGCTTTGCCTTCGGGTTGTTTTCTGTTTATTTTAGCATTCGTGCTTGTCACCATGGCAGCCGCTACAATCGGGGAGCAGGGTGGGCACGCTCGGGGGAATAGAGTAATGTCGTGGGTAAAGTGTTTGCGAGTTGTCTCCGCCGCTATCACTCAGCCCGGGCTCTGCTCCTCCGACTGAGAGCGACTGCCCTTGGCCGGGAAAAAGGGCGGGTGAAAAACAGCTGGAAGGTTTTTCGTTCGTGTTCAGGAGGCGCATACATACACATATGTATACACACAGGCATGCATGTGATCACAGTGCTTTCCCGTCAAGACCACCAAAGAGCCATGACCTCTCACAAGCTCATCCTCCGGCCAGCTGGGCTCTGAGCATCGGGCCGGGGTATGTGAGTGGCATTACAGTGGAGGATTGTGTAACCGGTACCAGCCTCTTCCTCGGCCCCTCCGCTTGGAGGACCTGGACACCACTCATGAGTTTTGTCTCTTTAAAGCCAGAGACAGTAACCTGTGAGTCGGGCTCAGAGTTTAGGCAGAGTGGGAGTTGGACGGGAGCCTTCAGGCCTCCTTCCTATCCTTAGGGGCCGTAGCAGTGCCCTCATGTGCTACTTCAGTTTTGTTGAGAGCCACATACTCTGCCTTCCTTGGATATCTGTGGCTCAGTAAGGTGATAAAAGCGAGCTCCTGACTTAAGGATGATGAGAACCTTTCTGGTCTGTCTATGGATGTGATTTGTCCTCCCTTCAGCCTGTATAACAGCATCAATAAAGCTCTCCCAACTCTAGGCAATTGCTTCATAAAAAATAAGCCAGCCCCTGGAGCAAAAAGTGGCCCAGCAATACCATTCCCGGGAGTGATCTAGCTGAAGCAGTTTGGGAACTGCACTGTGTGTCACTCTTTGGCTGCAAATCCATTTGTCAGCTGGTTATGCACACATCGAAGTGAACAAAAGCAGCAGCCTGGTCAGAGTTGAGGCAGAGGCTGGGCACCACTGGGGCTTTTGGCCTGTGTTTCTCTTTTTGCCAGCTGTAAAGTGGGGGTGGAAGATGTGTGTATGAGTATTTGGGAAGCCTTATGAATGTTTGGAAAATGCTGTCAGAACACTCCCAGCCTTCAGGCAGCAGAGTGGAAACCCTTCAGCTGAGACCCTTGGCCATTGCTTGCATCTGCCGAAACTCAAAAGTCAAAACTGAGGCTCATGGGCAGAGTAAGGATGTATTTGCTGCTCTCTAGGGCCGTGGGCTTCCAGCAGTTCAAGCTGCTCTGCTGTGCATCTCTATGGAACTCTGTGCATCCTCTTCTATGGAGCAGGACTGTGGAAATTAGTACAGTGAGGTGAGGAGCTTTGTGCGAGTGCTGTTATTGCTGTAGCTCTTTGGGCACGCAGGGAACTGCTCTCAGGCTGGCCAGGGCTGAGTTGGATAAGCAGAGGATTTAGAGCACTCCTGCCTTTTTGATTCCACCTTAGTGGCAGAGGAAGCTGCCCCTGAGCCTCTGATTTCTTGTGTGTATGCTTGAACAAGCTGCTCTGGCAGTTTTAGTTTTCCATTCCACCGCTTATTCCTTCTGGGTTTTTATAGCATTTACTTTACTCCCTCTCAGAGGGCTTGTGAGGTTGCCCGAGTCCATATCATCTGCCAAGCACCTTAAAATCCTCGGGAGGAGGATGCTGTGGCAGCGCTGCGCATTGTTATATTGCTGCTGTTTGGGGGGAGGCGGTATGTGCTCATGGCTAACCACAAAGCCTCTCCTTACAAGATGTAGCACTGTGCAACAGCCACTCCGGATCTGGTCCTGTTCTCAAAACCATGTAAAGCATCCCAGCTCTGCTCCACGCCTGAAATCCCTTAGCAAGGAAAAATATTTGTCCTTTGCCTCTCTGTAACTGGAATCCCAGGATGTGCCAGCCCCCTCTGGTATGTCCTGACCCCCTGGCAGGCAGCAGCTGAGATGAGGGAGGACCCTCTCCTGATGCACCTGACAGTGGAGCATGGTGGAAATATGACATTCTGACCTGCCACAATCTGTTTACATAGAGAAGGGGAACAGGAGGAGTTTGTGGTATTTGGGCTTCCCCTCATGCATGCAGAGTGGTTTCCCAAGGGTTGGGTGGGTTGCTGTGAGAGGCAGTCTGGTAAAATACATTATGTGTGCTCCCGTAACTATGCAGTACCATGGCTATGGAGAGCTTGATGTGCTTCACTGCGAGGCACATAACGAACCAACTGGGCCACGATGTTTGCCTGTGCTGCTGGGGCCAGAATCAGGGAAGTGGCTGTGGGTGGGCATAGGGTGGAAAGGTTGGCAGGGATCTGGGGATAACCCCCACCAGGGGGTGGCATCTAGCTGGGTCTGAGCAGGTGGTCCTGTGGCTGAGTTAGCTGTGTGAGCCGGCAGGGCTGGTTACGCCAGGGCTGTAGCTGTGCAGGTGGCCCTCAGCATGACCTGGCTTCGTCTGACTGCACGACATGTGCAGGGCTGCCCACTGCCCTGTCCCAGCCAACATAGAAAATGTACCATTTCAGTTGCTCTGCTGGAGAAATAATGAATCTAGAGAAGCAACTGCCCTTTGGCAGTGTAGAGCCCTCAACCCTGAGTTAATTCCCATCAAAGTTGGGTTACTTGACTTAATGTGTAATGGCAATCTTGTGTAAGGGGAGGCATGCCTGTGCTCTGCCTGCTTCTTGTGTTCCTTGTCCTTCTGCAGAGCCACTGAGACAAGCTGCCCATTTTTAACCAGCTTTTGGTTTCTTTTGCTCCTTGTAAGGGATGGTTTTGGAGTTCAGGTTTGGGCTTGTCTGCATCAGAGTGACTCATGACTTATGGGTCTATGGAAAATATTTTTTCATTTTTTTAAAACGGGCTGCTCTTTTGTCTGGGAAAAAGGAAAAAATCTTTCTTTTGGATGAGTGTGTCCAAGAGTTCTGCTCTTGCATCTATGCTATGACATTTCAAATTCTTGGCAAATGAAGGTCTATTGCATGGGTTTAAAAACTGAAGTGCTTTTTGGGCTTGTAGTTTTCTTCTTTACTCTCTCTCAATGTGAAGAATAAAAATCACCTCAGGTAAACACTGTAGTTGATTGCAAGTATCAGCTTGAAAATGATTTTTTACTTGCTGACCTCATGTTTATTAGCACAACTTTAAACTTAGAATCTGGATGTCTGATTCCCAGAGTCAACAAGGGAAATCTTTGAATATTTAAGCTGAGGCATGGGGCTATCAGAAATCAGTGTCTCAGAAGCAGCTCGTGCATTGTAAATGATCCTACAGAGCTCTGCTTTATAGGAAGAAATCTTGACATGTGGTCTCTCTCTAATAGCATCGAAACAAACAGGCCCTAGAGATGCCTGAAATAAAAATTCAGAAATTGGTAAATGTCAGGGCTGACTTGGTTACACTGAACCCCTGCGTGTTTCCCCTTCCACTTGCCACAGAGGGTGGAAACACAAGTGAGTGCCATAGTCCTAGGAATGCATTTTTATTTTGGAGCACAGCTCTGCCAGTTGTTTTGTGTGTTGAGTGTTTCTGAAGGATGGACTTCTTCCCTGAGCTCTTTTCTGTCCCTCCCAGGCAAAAGGTTGTCCCCTGCCTCCAGGAAATTTCCAAGAACCAGAAGCTGTGCAGTTTGTCTTTGGAAGGGTTTTGGCATCATTCCCACACTAGGTACAGGTGGTTAATTGTTCACCACATACTGCTTGTCTGTTTTAGTATGGCACTGATGGGCAGAGACCATCTATTCTTCCACCTCTAAAGACTGTGGCATGGGAAATTCACCCAATATACTTGTGTCTTGTTGAAGAGAGCAAGGCCATTGCTGCCACGTGGGCAAAGCTTGTTGGTGAGAGGGGTGGTTGGTAGTTGCTTTGAAAGAGGAATTTTTCTATTGGCTTGACTGTAAGCTGAGGGTGGGAGTATTTGCTTCCATTTCCCAGTCAAAAGCTGGATGTGAGGCTGCCCATGGTCTTCTCATCTTGCTCACTTCCCTGGGGTGTCATGAAAGCAGCAACTCACCTGAAAGATGAAGAGTGCTATTATTTAAATGCTCTGAATTTTGTTAGGCTGGTGCCCAATTGCTCTTTGGAGCAGGTATGATGCCTCTTATCTTTGTCAGTTGCTCTTTGGAGCAGTTATGTTGTCTCTTGTCTTTGTCCTGCCAACTTTTGTGACCTTTGTGTTTCCTCTGTGACCCCACTAGAGCCTGTTTGGCAGTGGAGAGACCCTATATTGTAATGCTGGCTCAGGTTGTGTGGGCTCAGCCCTGCTGGCTGTTCCCTGCCTCATTGCTCAGCCATGTAAAATGAGCACTGGGGAGATGAGATCAAGGCGTCCTATTTCCTTGTAGCAAAGGCTTTCTAAATGCTCTGCAAAACATCACTGAACTGAGCGTCACCTGCCTGTGGTGAGACAGCGAGCAGGAGACTCCTCTGGGATGCTTTGCTGAGAATGGGAGGTATCTGAAGGCATCAAACAAGTTGGTAAAGAAAGATTGTTTAATTCTCCCATATTATTTAGCTAGAAAATCATCAGTGACTGGGGTTTACTTGCTTGTCTGAGTTGTCAAACTAGCACATTTAAGCACACTTGTATTTGCTACCATGTAAGAGCACCTTGATATATGCTCTTCAGACCCTGGTACACCTAACTTGGCCAAACAGTGTGCTCTGCAGCACTGGTTTTGTGTTACCTTTGGCCATGGGTATCTGAATCCTATGGAGCAGGTGCTGGTTGATGTTCACCATGTGTTCATGAATGATTTTATTCTCATCACTTCATCATGTTCCCTCTGTGCACAGCTTTCAGAGGATGTTGTTTTTCTCACAACTGGGATATCCTGCAACATTCATGGTTTGCTAAGTGATACCATTTTCAAGGACTTGTATCCCATTAAGGCTCCTGC